AAGCCGGGCTGGCATCGCTGCCAACACCTGCCTGAGCTCCACGGGGCACAAACCAATCTGCTGGCTCGCCCTGGGGCTCTTACAAGCCCCCCCATCCTCCTGGATCTCTCCCTGGGCTGGGCACTTTCCGTGTCATGGTTATTTATTTCTGAGTTGGGCTGGTGTCTCTGTTTCCTTTCAGCAGGGCTGTCACCTTGCCAAAGGCACAGGCAGAGGATTTTGGGCTGGTTTTGCGTTGCAGCCACCTTCACCTCTCCTCAGACTTGTGAACATCAGGACCAATTACTCAGGAATGTTCTGTTTGCCACGACTGGATCCAGGTGGGAGAGGAAGAGCTGGGCTGGGCTGGTGGCACGGGCCCAGCAGCAGAAATGAGCACCAGTGCCACAGCAAAGAGGTCACCAAGAGCCACAACCACCTGAGGAATGTTTGAATCAACCGAAATTCCCCACCATCCGTGCCAAGAACGAAGCATCTGGAAAAAAAAACGATGCCATTTTTCGGCTCCAAAAAAAAATCCTTTTCCGTGTTTCTGTTATCTATAATCACCATCTCAAGAGCCTCCTGGGCACTGGGACGTGGTGTGAGTGTTGGGGATGGTCCTGTGCAGGGCAGAGTTGGACTCGATCCTTGTGGATCCCTTCCAGCTCAGCAGGTTCTGTGATTCTGAGACCCCTCCATCCCAAGACCTCTGCAGGAAGCCCTGTGTGGACTTGTTGATGCTTTGCTTATTCCTTGACTCCTCCTGATGCCAGTGAGGTTTTCCAGCACAGGGTATCAGTTCATCCATGGTTATTTTCAGCACAGAAGTCAACAGCAGCAGCACCGTGTTTACAGAGCCCTCTGAGCTGCTCCTGAGCTGGTCTGCAGTCCCCTGGATGATAAATGTCACCTGTCCTTTCTTCTGAACTGGACCAGATCCTCACCCCCATCTCCCCAAACCCATCTCCCCCAGGTTATGTCCTCCTGAGCAAACTGGTGTTCAAAGGAAGGTGCCACCATGGAGCTGAGCTGAAGCACTGGGAGAAGGGCTGGGAGGGAAAATCCACAACACACTTGGGCAAATTGTGGGCATTTCCCTGAAGGGGCTCTGGGAGAGCTGGAGAGAGACTTTGGACAAGGGCATGGAGTGACAGGATAAGAGGGAGATTGTTTCTAACTGAAAGAGGGCACAGTTAGATGGGATATTGGGAAGGAATTGTTCCCTGTGAGGGTGGGGAGGCCCTGGCACAGGTTGCCCAGAGAAGCTGTGGCTGCCCCATCCCTGGAAGTGTCCAAGGCCAGGTTGGACGGGGCTTGGAGCAACCTGGGCTGGCGGAAGGTGTCCCTGCCCATGGCAGGGGTGGAATGAGATGATCTTTAAGGTCCCTTCCAACCCAAACCTGTCTGTGAGTCTGACTGAGCTGTGGCCACATCACTCCCTGGAACAGCCCTGGTTTAACTGAGGGCTCTCTGCAGACTCCCCACAGGTCTCAGAGGTGGCCACAGCAGAGATGCTCTGAAATGGCATCAGCCTGCTGGCTGGAGATGGGGTCCCTCCTGAGCTTCAGGTGATGTTCTGTCATGGGCAATATCAGAGCCTGAATGGGTGGCAGGTTGTCTGCAGAGCATGGACTGACTTGATGACTCATTCTTTAGAGCTCTTTGCGCTTCTTGGAAAGGAAAATCAAGGGGCTGGGGAGTCTCATTGTCAGAAAAGCTCAGTTCTCACATCAGCACTGGGAACACTGCCCTGCTTTTCCCAAGATCCCAGAGCTCTGGGTGCTGCTTCACAGAAACCATGGCCTCGAGCAGCCTACTACAAACCACAAAGTGCTGAGCACTTAACGACCATAATTTGCTGCTTACAAGGGCACTGAGCTGTGCTGAAAACCCAGCCCAGATTATGGGTTTCAAATACTAGAAAATCTGTCTCTGAGCCCTTAATCCAGTTTATGGGCTCATCACAAATGGAGCTGAGCCATTCTTGGAAAGAAAACTTGGCAAAAGCAGTCCTCCTGTATCAGTTGAAACCACATACAACACTCAGGCCAACAAATCTAGATTGGGGAGCAAGTAAAACATGTAACAGGCTCTCTCAGTGACTGAGGGAAGTGGTGACAGAGGGGCAGCTGTCAGAGCTGAGTGCACAGGACCAGCACCAAAACCCCCCTGTGAGGCTGCTCTGTGGTCACATTCCTGGGTGGGAGCTGAAGATTCCTCAATCCCAATCAAGCTAAGCCTGTCCATGCCAAGGAACTGCCTGGTTGTGCCCTGGTACCTTCAGAGTGTAGGAACATCCTCTCCCTCTGCAGAAGGCACGGGGAGAGGAGCTCAGCTCACCTCATCAGTGCTATTGAGGTTCACAGAGTTGTTCTTCACCCTATTTACACTTAGTGGGAAAAAAAAAACCAGACCTGAACATGGCTATTCTTTTTTAAAAGTCTCTTCTAACATCTCTCTTTCAACAGCTCATTTACTGCCCATCTGGGACTCCACAGTAAAATCTGTTCAGCTGTGGACCTAAATGACTTCCCTTCACACTAATCCTTGCTGTTCTCTGGCAGCCAGGCTGAATTCTCTTTTGATTGCCCACATCAATAAATCAAACATTATCCATGCTTGAATTTGGTTAAGATTCTGCTTAATGGTGCATGAGATAGAAGAGGACTCAGCTGATGAGTCTTAGCTGTGCTGCTCAGTAAAACGGGTTGAAGTGGAAAAAACCAGCCAAGATGGATTTTTGCCATTAAAAGTACAACTTGTTTGATCCCGTGCACGGGTGGGAGAAGATGCACTGATTAAAATCATGATGAATTTGTGGAGTCTTGAACATGAGCAAGGGAAACAAGAAGTGAGAGAAGGGTCTGGGATGTGTTTGCTGCCAATGGACACGATGAGCACCACAGGAGAGCACCTGGAGGAGGGCAAGGGAGCCTCGCTGGGAGCAAGAGGACAGGGAGGTGTTCTCCTCACCCAGGAGACCTCTGGCAGGGCCAGATGAGCAGAGCCCACGCCCAGGAGGACATCCCTCTTCCCAGGCCTCTCACCACCCATCTTTTCTCTTTATCTTAGCACCATCTAGAGGGATGTGCCTGCACACCCAAGGCAGCAGCTCCACAGCGACATTTGGCAGAGGGGAACACCCAAGGGCCATGTGTGGAGTCGGGGGGAGCCGAATTGCCAGCAGCAAAGCCTCAGAAGAGCAGTTCGCTCCTCCAGCCACCTTCACTCTGTGCTTCAGTACAAGGTACAGTCATTCCCCTCATCCTGGGGAGCTCATCTGAGAATGGGAAGGATTGTTCCTTCCCGTTCCAGAGGGGGTTGGAGGTTGAGAGGTTCAGGAGGGAGGTCTGGAGGGTGTTCCTCAGGGATTGGGGGTTTTCTCTTGATTATTTTTTTTTAACACCTACAGATCTTGCATCACAAGCTCCTGCAGGCTTCAATGGAGGCCACATCTGGAGTGCTGTGTCCAGTTCTGGGCTCCTCAAGAGAGATGTGGAGCTCCTGGAGTGGGTCCAACAGAGGCTACAAAGATGCTGAAGGGATGGAGCATCTCCCTGACCAGGAAAGGCTGAGGGAGCTGGGGCTGTTCAGCCTCAAGAAAAGACACTGAGAAGGGACCTCCTCAATATCTGGCAAGGTCTGCAGGGAGGGGGCAGAGGATGGACCAGGCTCTGCTCGGGGGGGCCAGCAATGGCACAGGAGGAATGGGCAGGAACTGATGCCCAGGAAGTTCCACCTGGACATGAGGAAGAACTTCTTTGCTGTGTAGTGGCTGAACAGAGACCAGAGAGGGGGTGGTCTCCCTCACTGGAGATATCCCAGACCCATCTGGACACAATCCTGTGCCATGTGCTCTGGGATGGCCCTGCTGGAGCAGGGAGGTGGCACCAGATGACCCTCTGTGGTCCCTTCCACCTGAGCCCTTCTGTGATCTGATGGTGTGACAGGGAGTCATCAATGGTTTAGGCAGAGGCTGCTCTTCATGGCCACTCAAGCTTTTGCCTGTCACTGGCACCACAGAGCAGCACCACAGGCCACCAGCTGAGCTGAAGGTTTCTATGCTGTATTTTACAGTTTTCAGCCCATCAGGGCTTACTCAGACCTTCCACCATGGAGGACCAAGACAGAGTGGGTGGTGAGACATCAGCTCATCTCTCTCACACACTGATCTCACAGACTGTGCTGCAGCAGCCTGGGCTGTGCAGCCCTGGCAGAGACTATCCCTGCCCTCCATCAGCCACATCTCTGACCAACCTCACACAATCCCAAGGCAAGGCCATGGAAAACAAAGTCTGACCTGCCTGGATCAGCGAGTGCTCGGTTTGGAGATGGGAAACACATTGCCCTGGTCAAAAGGCAAAGCAGAAGCTTTCAGAGCTCACCTGGCTGAGATTAAGGAGCACAGACAAGTACAAACAGCAGCAAGGTCTGGAAAATGTACAAAACCTGCATTGCTTCAGTAACTGGTTGCACTGAGGACTAAAATCCATCAGTGCTCTGAAGGTGGGATCCCAAAGGATCCTGGAGAAAGCAAAGCCTCTGCCTGCATCTTTTCTGCTGGAGATGTCACCCTTTCCTCCCCCCTCAGTCACTGGGACAGGGTGTAAAAAGGTGCAAAGGTCTGGATGGGGAATGGAAGGATTGTGTGGGGTATCCTTGCCCACAGCACGGCTTCGGAACTAGATGATCTTTAAGGTCCCTTCCAACCCAAACTATCCCGTGATTCTAAGATATCCATGTCCCTGCAGCACCCAGACGACAGCAGAAAAGAAGAAACATCCCACTCTTCTCCCCTGCCTTGCACAAGCACAGTGCCCACCGCAGTGATCCCACCCAGCTCAGCTGATGAGCTCCCACGTCTCAAACCCAGGTCCTCCAGCAGCCACAAGGCACCACCAGCAGCTCCTCCAGCCACGGCCAGGCCACTTTTCCCTTTCCTTTCCTTTCCCTCTCCCCCGCGGCCGGCTCAAACCCCGGAGCCAACACTCAGAGCACTTTCTCCCATCCGGGAGGAGCAGGGATCGCATTCCTGGGCAGGGATCCCGGGGGCAGCGCCGGGCTGAGCCACCGCCCCGCGCGTGACCGGGCGTTCCGGGAGCAGCATCCCCGTGGGAAGGAGGGAGGGAGGGAAGGAGGGAGCCGGGCTTGGTGAGTCAACACTGCAGAGCTGCTGCGAGAGGAGGGGGAGGCAGAGCCAGGCCGGCTGGGAAGGACGGATTTGCCGAGCCCGCGACAAAAATGGTTTGAGTAATTATCGACGGTAAGGAAACCTCTGGTTTGAGGCGAGGGAGCTCAGAGGGGTTCCCGCAGGGTAAACACTCCGCGTGTTTTATGGCTTTGGCTCGTGGGGGGAGAAAGGCTGGAGTAGCTGGAAACACAGCCAGGGCTCCAGACACACTAACAACTCCCTTTTAGCCTGTCAAACCCAGTCCCTCCATTCCCTCTGCTGCTTTTGGCCATAACCTGCCGCGGGTCCCGCAAGCCCCGCCACGATCCCCTTCTATGTGGACCTCCAGCTCAGCGAGAGGTCCCGCTCTGGGCTCGCTGGGGAGGGCGTTTTGGGGTTGTTTCAGGTTCCTGCAGTGAGCAGGGGTCTCCCCTTTCCCCCCAGCCTGCCGCTATGTGGCCAGGAAGATGAGGACCCTGTGGAGCCGGGAGCACCGGGAGCCACCGCCCTGCCCGGCACCGGCAGAGCCCCGCGGCCACCGACAGAGTGAGTCCGGACCCCGGGGGGAGAGGGACATCCACACACCCGGGATAGAGGGGCCAGGGCTCCCCGGGGCTCCCAGGGCACCCCCGCACCTCCCTGTCCCCTCCCTCCGTGTGCTCCGGTGACCAGAGTCTTCCTCAGCGCCCGGCGCTTGAGCTGAGGAGGAACAGGTGGAAGCTACAAAAGTTTCTTTCCTTCCCTGCTTTGTCTTTCCTGGCTGGGTTTTGTTGTTAAACGTCCTGGTTCCATCCCGGCCCCTTGGCAGAGGGCATGAGCAAATAACAGCCTTTGGAAGGGGGACAAACACACTCGGGGGGGAGGGAGGGGAACCAGAGGGGCAAGAGGATGGCACCTGCTCCTCCAGGGCTATGTGTCCCTGGGACAGTCTTTGTCGTTTCATGCACCCTGCTAAATACCAAAATATATCTCCACACCCCGACAGGCAGCAAGAGATCCCTGGCCTTGCTTCCCAGTCTTCCCCAGCCCCTTCCTGGCTCGTTTAAACCACACTCTGTAGATCACTCATGCAAAACCCCCAGAGCAGCTGGTCCCAATTTGGCACAGAGGGTACAGCAAGGGCCATCCTGGCTCCTCACCCATCCCAGTCAAGGCAAAGAAGGTTCACCCAGAGCTGCTCCCACATCACCTTGCTCAGGTGTTAAACCTCACTGTCAAAGTAAACTCAGTTTTGAACAGCAGACAGAGGAATCTCAGCACAGGAGAGATCTGCCCTGCAAATACCAGTTGTACTGGTTTGGCTGACTCACTCCTGGTTGCTCCTGTGCAAACATACCCAGAGCTGCACCCAGGCAGGGGCACATTCCCAGGCAGCTGCCACAGTGGTCATCTCATGCCTGGGATCTCCTGCCTCTGCCAGGAGCTGTCACTGGAGACTCCAGGGAAGATGTAGGGCTGAGCCATTCCCTTCCTGCTGCTCCCATGTGCTGTGGGGAGGGGAAGGAAAGCAAACTGTGTGCCCAGGGATTCCTATAAAGTCTCCAGAATATCATCTGTTCCCTAAAATAGCAGCTAGACCTTTAATGGGGAAGGGAAAGGGAGTGTCTCCCTTCACTAATGCCTTAATTAAGTGCATATGAAGAAAAAACAGGGTATTTGTTGATCACCCTGCAGTGGGGGTCAGGATTTAGCAGAGGCTCCAGCTGGGAAGCTCAGGGCAGGCACTTGGGTGTATCAGTGAGGGAAATCAAACTCCTCCTGTGAGCAAAGAGGTTCAGCTCCTCACTGCAGTTAATTGCTGGGTGTTTAATTGCAGTCAGGGGGGATGCCAGGCTGGCACGAGCAGAGGGTCTGGCCCTGTACGGGTTGGGCACAGCAGCCCCTCAGATCTGTGGCTGCAGGAGCTGTGCCAGTGCAATGGGGGGGCTGCACATCCCTCTATCCCACAGCATTCCCCAGCCAGGAGCTCTGTGGTGCCCCAGGGAGAGCTGGCCCAGCACAGGGTGCCTGGAGCACCTGGCTCAGCAGAGGAATGGGCTGGCTGGGAAATGTGGATGATCCAGAGGCACCGGTGGGGTCACAGCTTGGAATCTGTGGCTCTTTATGCCCTCCTTGCAGCAAGGTGGGCTCTCCATGTCACAAACCCGGCCTGACTCCTCACACCTACTGCTATCTATGGTTTTTGGAGCACCTTCCCTGTTCACATCCCAGCCTTATCCCCTCAAATCCTTTCCCTTTCCCCTTGGCTAATCCCAAATCCCCCTCTTTTCTCCTTTTGTTGTGCATTTGCAGATGTAAAGGCAGAGGTATCAGCACCCCCTGAAGCAACAGCCTCCCTTCCCAGGAACATCAAACCCATCCAGTGCAGGTCCTGACAGTAAAAGCCCTCAAGGTCCTCCCATGAAGGCCACAAGATTTCTTCCCACTGATTTCTCCAGGGAATCCATTTGCTGGGAATCTTGCAGCGCAGGGATTGGAAAATATCAGCGAATCCCTCCTGTATCTGCTCTCAACACAGAAGCACAACGATAGAAAACATCTTAAATGGTCTCCTGTTACCAGAATTTTCTAGCTGGCAGACAAAAAAAGAAGATTTCCAATATGTATCAGGTGCTCCTGGCACTTCTGGGCCATGGAATACCAGGAGAAGAGCTCGAGCCATTGCATCCCAGCAGCAAATTGGAATTTCATCCTGTGAAACCAAACTGTGCTCCTGATGATATCGGTATAAAATCAGACAGTTTCCATGAAGGTCAAATCAGTCCCTGAGCTGGAGTGAGGAGTCTGGGAGCTCAGGGCTGTGGAAATCCCAGGATGTTTTGTACGCCCCCTTCCCCCATGCCCAGTCTGAACAGACAACCAGCTCCCCCAGAGCAGAGGCTGCAGGAGCACAGCAGGAGCCCCCCAACCCCTGCAGTGTCACAGAGCCATGACAGCAGAATCACAAACCCCACACTCGAGGGGGAGACTCTGCCCGACCCCCTCCTGTGACAGCTGAGCCAGAAGTAAAGTTGGATCAAAAGCAGCTGGCTGGGAGAGTGGTGGGTTCTGTCCTGGAACGGGTTTGCTGTCCTTGTGGTGCTGGGACTCGATGCTGAGGGTCCTCTGGCTGCTCGTGTAGGCAGAGGTGGCTCTTGCCTCGCCATTGCTTGTGATAGAAATAAGAAGAGAGGGAGCAGAGTCATCCTGCACCCCTGGGAAGAGCTGAGTGAGAGCTCCCAAAGCTCCAGGGCTCAGCCTCGTGCTGCCCTCGGCGATGGTTTGGCCTTTGCTGGTACAATTTGGTGGCAGGAGGGGATGTACACAAATTACTGACCTTGATTTCAAAACCCTCCTGGCTTTGTGTGGGCCATGTTGGGCTTTGTGAAGGTGGGAGAGGCACAAACCCTGCCCTGGGGGTTGTGGGGCTCTGCAGGGGATGGGGGGGAAGGAGGGAAGGCAGGCTGGAAGGTGGAGAACAGCCACAGCAGGGCTGGAAAATGCACACCTTGGGCTCTTTATTCTGACATTGCCACTCCCTGGGACAGGTGTCACCACCAAACTGGGGGTTAGGTGGTCACAGCAGTGCAAGGAGCCACCTGAATGTCATGGAAGGGCCTGGCTGAGGGACAGGAGGACACCAGCACCACCTGAGCACACAACCCACAGTGCTTCCTTTGCCATTCCCTCATGGATTCCATGGACACACTTCTGCTCTCCACTGGCTCCTCTCACATGTTGTGTGTAAATGGAGAGCGTGGAGAGAGGAGGAAAGGAAAAACAAAGGAAATCAGCCTGCAAATGGAGCAGAAAAGGGAGCCTGAAAAGAGCAGTGCCCCAGGATGCCCTACCCAGTGCCCTCTCCAAGGTCTGATCCCAAGGATCACCCAGGGCTCTGGTGGTCTGCTGGAAGGTGTCCCTGCCCGTGGCAGGGGGTTGGAATGAGCTGAGCTTTAAGGTCCCTTCCAACCCAAACCATTCTGTGTTTCTATGAGATGTGACTCTGGAAGATGGGCCTGTGCAGAGCCAGGAGTTGGACTTGATGATCTTTGTGGGTCCCTTCCAGCTCTGTGATTCCTGATTCCATGACTCCGTGCCCATCACCTCCTTCCCAGGGGAGGCAGCAGAAGCAGCAGGTACTGAGCACTGTCCCCAGCTTGCTCCTGAGTGGAAGGTGTGCTGAGTCATCAGCTGGGACAGTGCCCACATGTCACAGGGCAGAGACTGTCCCTGACAACTGTGAGACACAAACACAGCCCAGAGCAAGGAGCACATTTCCAACACCTCCAGGCAGCATTTCCCTGTCTTCCTTGTGCTGGAAACTCCCACGTGCTTCATTCCAAAGGCACGGGACTGGCACCTGTGGGTGTTCCCCGTGACTCTCTGAGCCCCCCAGGTAAGAGCAGTGAGAAATGTCCCACAGGAGCTCCAGCCTGTCCTGGGTTGTTCTGACCCCTGGGGCAGCTCCTTCCCCCTGAGCCAGGGGCAGGCAGGTCTCCAAGGCTTTTCTGTGAGTGTCTTGCATGTTTTATTGGAGTCCTACTTCCACATGTCCATCTGGGTAAATCCAGGATGAGGGATCACAGCCCCACAGGTGTGGAGGGACAGCTTTTATTTTGGTGTTTTCCAGCCCCCTCTGGGGGTCACCTGCCCCTGAACCAGCCCTGGTGTGAGTCGAGCACGGTGGTCTGGATGAACTGGCACAGACAGGGCACGGTGCTGTGCTCCAGGTGCCCCCCTGCCACGGCCCCAGGGAGCTGCCCCGTGACCAGGAGCCGGACGTAGAACCCGCTGAAGATCACCAGGAGCTGCTGGGCCATGGCCTGGAACGAGCAAAGAGGTGTCAGGGCAGAGCATCTGGGCAGAGAGAGTGGTATTAAACACCATTTGTTCCCTCCTTCAAGGACTGTCCTGCTCTGAGAGCAGCCAATGGCACATATAACTGTCCCAGATCCCCTTCTGGTCAGCACTGTCCCCACAGGGGAGGGACAGAAAATGACCCATGGGTGGCCTGGGGACCTGCCCACTCTGTCACTGTCTCCTCTGGCTTTTTTTTTTTTTTTTTGGCCTCTAGACAGCCAGAGAGCCTCAATCTGCAGGGATGGCACCTGCACAGAATTCACTTAGTAACAGCGAGAGGAAAACTGGAAAATAAATCAAAATCATCCCTTTTGAAGCTCCTTGCTGAGCAGGAATGAGGACACATTTGTTGCTCAGCGTGGCACAAGTCTTTGAAGGCACTTTCTGTGGAGGGAACAGAGGCTGGGCACATCCATAACTCATCCCCAGCCTGGACAGGGGCACCAGGTCCCTGCACAGTCCCTGGGTAGAGTTTGTCTTCCAAACTGGGACCCCTTGGCCACCAGCAAGGAAAAGCCCAAGCCATGAATTCCTCAAGGATTAAGCATTGGCTGACTGAACTGCTCAGCAGCAGCAGGGCTGGAGAAGGTGTGTGTGGAATTCCAGGTGCTTCTGGTGGTGAAAAAGGAGGAGTCTCCCATGGCTGGTGGGTGCTGGGATGAGTTTTGGAGCTGAGCTGCCTGGGGAGCTGATTTGGTGCCTCAGGCTGTCAGGGAGGGATATTTCTCCTTACCTCTGGTGGGCCCTCAGGGACGAGGCAGAGCAGCTCATTGCATGTCACAGGCTTTTTATTCAGGTTCTCCCCAGTGGATAAAAGAGGGGACTCTTCACGTGGAGCCTCCTCATCCTCTGTCCCCAGGTCGGGCTGAACTGCTGCCTCCATGACCACACAGAGCTTGTCCAGCCTGTGCCTCAATCCTGCCTGGAAGAGAAAGATTTCGGGTTCTCCAAAGGCAGTGGCTGAGAACAGCCTTTAAAGGGCTTAAAGAATTTCTTCCTGCATGTTTTTCACTCCTGGGATTGACCATCCCAAGCACTTGGAGGTGGGTGTCCATCCCACAACCAGGAGCTCTTGTGGCAGTGACTGTTCCCAGCACGATGGTCACGGCCTGACAGGGGGAATCTTGTCTTTAAAATCTGAGTTTTTAAAGATCTGACTCTTTAATATCTGAGTTTTTAAATGTAAGTCTATAAAATCCCCTGTGTGTGGATTTGGGGGGGTCACTGTCCATCCCCCCAGGCTGCAGCTGTTGGTTCAGCAGGGGGATGAGCAACCTGGAGGTTTTGGGAGGGTTGTTCCCCCTCACCTCTCATCCCACAGCCACCAAGGGCAGTTCAGGGGATATTTATACACCCACAGAGAGACAAACATTCCCTTGGAGGCCAAGAGGACAACATTTTTATCCAATTAACCCAGTACAGCATTTCCTTCTCCCTCAGGCCATCCCATTTATTCCAGGAGGACAGCTCAAGGTGTCAGCTCTTCCAGGCTGGGACACGTGCTTCCAAAATTGGCCTTTCTTTGGTTCCTGATGACTTTCCTTCATTAAAGTTGTGCAGTTAATTACCCAGACACCCACATAGCAAACAAACAAATCAAAACAAGTTCCTGCTGAACTGGGCACCAGCAGGTGCAGCTGATCCACCCCCCAGTGTGCCCAGTTCCCAGCAGGAGAAGCTCAGGAGGGCACTCAAACACTCAGTTGTCCTTGCTGTGTTGGGCTGAAATGTTGTTAATCTCTTAAATATTGTCAAAATCATCACAGAATGAGGATAAATTTTCTATTTTCATCTCTCTGTCACTCTCTTTCTTCCCCCCTCCTCCTTTTCCTGTTTCATTCTCTCTTTCCCTGCCTCATATTTACTGTTAAATAACAGTAAATTACACATTTACTCTTTAAATTATTGTTACTGTTTTAATTATCAATTGGTACTATTAATTATTAATATATTAATTAATTAATATAACTATTAATATAACTATTAATTTATTATTTAATTAATACCAATTGGCTATTATTTATGAATTTTATTACTTTCCTTACTAATATTTTATAATAAAATATTTTATTTAAAAATTTAATTATTTTCTTAATAAATTATTTATTATAATAATTAATAATAATTAATTGTTTTATTTATTTATTTAATTGATTATTCTTAGTAGCTTATTATTATTGGTTATTATTTAATCATTAATTAAATAATATTACTTAAATAATATTAATTAAATATTTAATCGATGTTAAATATTAACATTAATATTAAATTTAATAATCAATATATAATTAATGGTAAATATTAATTATTAATTTTAATATTCATTTAAGCAATGTTTAACATTAAATTAATATTAAAAATTAATTCATTCATTAATTAATTTAATTAATTATTTTAATTCATTCATTAATTAATTTAATTAATATTAATTAAATTAATATTAAAAATTAATTCAATAATTGATGGTTAAATTAATTTAATCATTAGTTAAATAATATTAAATCAATTGGTACTGTTAAATTATAACATTTGCTGTTAAATAAAATCCACACTCCTGCCTTTGGCAGCTGGTCTCGTTTGTACCTTAATTCAGACAGAGACATTTCTAATAATTTCAATAACCGGATCAAAACACTTCTCCACCCCCATCCCAGCAACGCTGGGGCCCAGGGCTGGACCTGCAGGTGTGCCCAGGCTGTGCCAGGCTGTGCCCACCCCCTTACCTGTGCAGTGCTCTGCAGGTGGGTGAGGTGGGAGGACAGGGCCCGCAGGCAGCGCTCGGGGCTGAAGTGCACAAACCACAGCTGGAAGGGGCAGGTTAAGGAGGGAATGGTTCCATATTCCCAGCTCCGTGGGGATGGGAGGGGGGATCTCACAGGGAGCGGAGCCTGTGGGATGCTCAGGATACAGCCAGGACCCAAAAAACACATCACAGGGCTCGTTTTAAGCCACGAGGGTCTAGTGCCTTTCAGGGCTGGTTTTAAGCCATGTCTGCTCTAAGACAAAACTTCAAATTATTGGGACAAGAAGAGGGGTGGCAGAGAAAGGGACATTATCCCAATGCAGTCCTCCTCCCTCCCCTCCTGCAGCCTGGGGTGGGGGCACAACAGGGATAACCCAGGGTCACTGCCCATCACTCATCTCAGTGGCCTTATATCCAAATAAACTGGTGGGGCACAGTGACTTAGCTCCCCTAAACCCTAACCCCCTTCCTGCTTTCTTGGCTTTGTTTCTCTTTCTATTTCTATATCCTAAATGTATTTTATATTTATATTATTCACATTATATTTATATTATTTATATCCCATTTATGTTTGTGTTTACATCCAACTATTGATAATATTTCCCCTTTATTTGTTGCAAAATTTACCCTACTTGGTGCTGGTCTGCAGGACAGAGACACTGCTGGGAAGAGTCTTCCAAGAGCAACGTGATGGGGATGCAAGTCCTGCCAGCTCTGAGGCAGCCAAAGGTCTGCCCTTGGACATCTCCTCAACCTGCCACCATCAAGGGGATCCAGGAACAGCAGAAAAGCCAGAGGGTTAAAATAGATCTGACATTGAGCAGGCAGAGAAATTGTAAATTATTTGCTGCTCTCAGGCAGTTCTGGGACACAAAAAGGTGAAGGCTCCTTGGATTAGTCCTCACTTACTGAGGTGTAGAACTATCCTGGCGTGAACAAATGTGTAATTCAGGTTTGCAATTATTGTAATTCAGGTTTGTAATTGTCCTCATCCTGCAGGACTTTGGCCCTGCCAGCCCTCCTGCAGAATTCTCTGCTCCCTTCCCTGCCACTGTGCTCCACCCTGGCTTCCCTCAACATTTGTATTTCTCACCTCTTTAAACATCTCTCCCTCACCTTCCTTTTACACCTTAATGGGATCTTAAAACTCTCTTGATTCCCCTAAATCTTTGGCTAGTCCAGAAAAGGTATCTCTGAAGCCAGGGATGGGGAGTCTGGTTTTCTCCATGTTGGATTTTTGGGGGGACACTCTGGTTTTCTCTGTGCTGGTTCTTTTGGGGTGTTTTTTTGGTTTTTTTGCCATAAGCACATTGCTGTCACTCTGCTTACAGTGAGAATCATCACTGTCCCTTAAGTATAACACACTTCCAGGAATAATTGTCTGCCCTAAGGAATCTCATTTCAATCCTTTACACTCATTATTTCCAACTGACTTTGGGCATAACTCAATCACCACTTACAGGAGAAATAAAAATACCCCATTCCTCAGGCCATGCAATAAAAAGAACATCCTAGAAATCCCACCTTCTGAATCATAACATCACTAAATACCTCCACATCATCCCAGGAGGGATATGAACAATTCCCTACACAAAGGATACTTGTAGGATGTTGTGTGGCCCCTCCAGGACATCTGTAATCCCCAGAATTAAACTGTGCTTGATAAAGATTTCATTGACAGCTGCCAGCCTCACATCTGTGTTCACGTTTATCTGTGAGAGAATGAAAGAAAAAAATAACATCTCTTCAAAAGAAAAGTTGGGTCAAGCTACAAACTGCAGCTGGATAATCCCAAATCCTGGGTTTCTGCCAGGAAAACAGTGACATGAGCAGAGTGTGGGCAGGGCAGGGTGTCACCAGCCATCAGGATTGGCCTCTTCACCACCAGCAGAAATCCCACTAAGGTTTATTTCTGTCATAGACAAAATCTCTGAAGCTGAATTCACTTCCAGTGTCATGTTCTCCCTTCCATCCCCCAGCAGCCCCTGAGGGAAGGACTCCTTTCCTGAACCTCTGTGCACCCCTACATTTGCCAGCTTTCCTCTTGGAGGAATCATTTGCTCCAAAATCCGTTTAAAAAGCCCGCTCTGGACTTTGAATGAAGCCTTTGCACTATTATTCTTCAAGCAACTCCATAGAAACTTCCACACTCCTGTGACTCCTCCACCAAGCAGTGGAGGCTGTGGGTGCTTTCTCTCACACCATCACCTCCCTGCTTCCTTCTGCTGCCCAGTCTACCTTGGCTTTATCATTTTATTGCAACTTCTGTGTGTTGGGAGCTGCCTCTTTGTTCTGTTACAAGGCAGCTGCTGTGGGACCTCGACCCCAGAGCAGGAATAAACAATTCCCTTAATTCCAGAGGCAGCAGAGGCTGCCAGGACTGTCCACAGCTGCTGGTGAGCCCTTGTGCCTTCCCACCAGCTGTGGGAGCAGGAACTGTGCTTTGCAAGGGCTTTGTCTCCAGGGTGACCTTGTGGCAGCCTCTCAGTACCTGCAGGGGCTCCAAGAGAGCTGGAGAGGGAATTCCACAAAGGTATGGAGTGACAGGACAAGGGGGAATGGCATCACACAGGGAGGGCAGGGTCAGGTGGGATATTGGGAAGGAAATCCTTGGCTTTGTGGGTGGGGAGGCCCTGGCACAGGTTGCCCAGAGAAGCTGTGGCTGCCCCTGGATCCCTGCAAGTGTCCAAGGCCAGGCTGGAGGGATCTTGGAGCAACCTGGGCTAGTGGAAGGTGTCCCTGGAAGGAGACGGATCTTTAAGGTCCCTTCCCACCCAAACCATTCCGTGACCTCCAGCCACAGCAGGAGCTTTGAGCCAACCTGAGCAGCTCCAACATTTCAGCCATCACAACCCCTCCCTCGGCTGTACAACACCCCTTGCCTCAACCTGATCCCTGAACGCTGTAAAAATATTCCCTCCTCCCGGGATAATTCATATTCTTAGTGTGCATCGAGGGAAGAAACTCCCCTCAGGAGTCCTGCTCCTCTTGCCCCACATTCCCACACACAATTCCCTCCTCTCACCTTCCTCTGGCGCCGATCAATGACCAGTATGACCAGTACAGTGACTGCCACAGCAGCCAGGGTCACCAGCACACTGGACACCCAGGAGCGTCCAAAGGAAGACAGCTGGACCGTGGAGTAAAGGTTTGTCCAGAGAGACATGTAGAAAATCTAGGGAAAAAAATAATTAAATAGAGACTGGGGATAGTCACAAACCCGTGAAAGTGAGAAAAGTCACACAAAGAAGAAAACCAGCAGTCCCTCTCCCTTCCCTCTCGTCATAAATAAAGTCACATGAGATTTTTCAGAGGGTGAGAAAGGACAGAAGTGCTTTCCAATAATAAATAAGAACTGGAAGGACTGAGTGAGCTCTAGTTTATTGTAAAAAATCACCAGTCACCAAAGACAGAAAGAGTGAATTATTAATGATGATTCATACCCAGGAAGGATTTCAACTGAGTTCTTCCATTTAGAGAAGAAATGCACTCACTGAGGCATATTAGTAATAATTCTAATAGTCCTGTATTTAGAAAGGTCCTGTGTCAAGGTGGTGCAGGGACCACTCAATTACAATAAAGCTCAAACAGTGGACACTGAAATGGCATCAAGGACCATGTTAAGGGCTGACAAACTTGATCTTTCCATAAAGATGGGAAAAACTGAATTTCTTTACTTCAGACAGCAAGTATTTGGGCAGGAGATTGCCTGGAACCAAGTATGATGTGTACATAGCATGTCACAGCATCAGCTTGTAATAACATAATTTATTTGCACTAAACAGGGACCAAACCCCTCAAAACACTGAGCCCCCATCCCTACACCATTAGTGAAAGGAGAAAAAGTTAAACACCAGGCCTGCTGTAGGTATCTCAGCTACCTCAGCCACAGACAACCTGCTTTGGTGGGACTGTACCAGCAAGAGGTTGGAGGAGGTGCCTTGCCCTCCATCCACAGAAATTCTGTGAGCTGGGAGATCTGCTTTTTAACTTGATTTTAAAAATCTGGAGATATTCTGGTCCCGCTGCTGTTTTAGACCGACGGACCAGTTAACTCTGGTTGCTGAGGGGACTGCCTAGAGTTGCTCGTCTTCTTCAGGTGAGAGAGGCTCCTCCACAGACCCCACCATCTGCTGCAAGGCCGGTACTTTGTCTGCAGGGGGCTGAGGGTGTGATCAAATCCAGCTCCTTGTTTTAGTTCCTGGGTTTTTTTGTACAGCCATTATACCTGTCTTCTTCTCCTTTCACTAATAGTGTAGGAATTGGGGCTCAGTGTTTGGAGGGGGTTGGTGCCAAAGGAACCCACTAGGATGGTGAAAACCAGTATTTCCTCCCTGCCCAACCCCTCCCTGGGCACAAGGAAACCAGGGGTAGGTGTTGGTGCCCCTCGGGCAGTGCCTGGAGATCCCCCCTGTCCTCACCACGGCGATGGCAATCTGGAATGCCCGCGAGTTGTAGAACATGTACCTCCTCACTTCAGGCTTCAGGACACCATCCTGGATCAAGTCTTTCCACTGATCCAATGGCACCTGCTCAGGGAGCAAACACAGAACTAGAGCCACCCTCCGGTTTGGGCTCCCAGTCCCACCAGAGCCAGCCTGGGCAAACATCGGGGGGCCAGCCTGGCACTGCAACCCGGGTCTGTGTCCCCTCCCACAGAGAGCATCTCCAATCCCACCCACACAGCTCTCACAGACCAAAAACTTGTGTCCTTGCCCCATTTGCAGTGAGGAAAATCTGCCTGGAATATCTGCCTGGAAAGGGCAGGGAAAGGCACAGGAGGAAAAACACCTTTTTATGAGGAAGGACAAGACAAGACAGATTGTCCCAGGGATTCCCTGACCCATCAGAGTGACTTGCAAGCAAAATTCACTCCAACCCCTGCCCAAAGAGTTTCCTCGTGGAGGTTTAATCCAAGATCACCCCAGCTGACTTGCAGCTGAAGCTGAACTGAAACAAGCACCTCTCAAGACAAAAAAACCCCAAAGCCCTCTGTGATGTGGCTGTGAATGCCAACCCAGCTGGTATTAAACTCCCACAGCGTCCCCAGGGCAGCTCACCTGGACCCCCAGGGCCTTCAGCTTCTCTGCACAAAGCTCCATGTCAAAGGAGGAGGTGGAGCAGGTGTTGTCCATGCTGAGCACCAGGAGCACCTGGTCTTTGAGGGGTTCTGCAAGAGCCCAAAGGAGCCATGAGCACCCACTGCAGGGGGGTTTTCTCCCAGCAGCCAAGAAACACACGGCCAAGGGAAGGCTGAGGAACTGAGGCCACCCTGATGTGTTGGAGAAGGATCCAGAATCCCCCTTGGACATTTCTAAGGAGCTCTGGAAGCAGCCTGATGTAAGGAGACAACCCACAAAAAGGGAGGAAACCCCAAACACGTTCCAGGAGTGAGCAGAGATAACAAGAGACAACATGATGCTCTGATCTTCAGGCAGATAATGTCTTGCCTCACCAATCCCTGACTGAAAGGACAATGGCCTCAGGCTGCTGGGGGTTGGTAAGGCTGATCTACCTCTTAGAGATCCCCCCTCGGCCTGCCCACCCCACCCACCCCACAACAGCTGGAGCAATCAAATTAAAGTGCTTTCCAGCAACCACATTGCCTGGGATGTGGCAGGGCCACCCTGGAACCAACCCCCCACGTCCTCCAGTGCCCAGTTCCCCACTCCAGCAGCGCTCCTGGGATCAGCTCGAGGCCCTCAGCTTCCCAGTGTCACCTCAGAAGTGTAAGCTAGAGATCCCAGTCACAGCCAGGAGCCTAAAAAATGTGGGGACAGCCTGTCCTAGATTTGAGGAGCAGCCTTGGAGCAGCACAGGAGAGCTGTGATCTCCAGGCATCCCATCTGGCACCCACCTAGAGCTTACACAAGCTGTGCTACGGCAGGAGGAAGAGTTCAGGTCTGAGGAAGTGGCTTGTTCAGCTCAGATCCTGTTTCACTGAAACGTTCCCCTCAGCTTTCCTTCCCCTTTGCAGCTCCAGGGTCAGCCGGGTGTCCCCCGGGCTGCTCCTGCTGACACTTTGTGCTCTCCCAGACTATTGTGCTGATGGAACACCAGATGTTCACCTTTCCCTTCTCCCTCATTTCCATCCTCCCTCCTCATCATCACCTCACTGCTCAGGAGCAGGGGACGCCACATGAAACGAGGCAATTCCAACAGGGTGTGACTGCACTGAGCCAAAAAGGGGAGAGCAGGAGCGCCTGGAACCTCCAGGATCACAAGGTGCTGTTTGTTTGCTGAGCTTCATCTCCTCCTGGCACACAGCAGTGGAGATGGTGATTATAAAGCAAAAATAAAGCAAATGGCCTCAGTCTCGGGCCCAGCTCCCCTGTTCTCCAGGGCTTTAGTCTTGGACACTTCCAGGGATGGGGCAGCCACAGCTTCTCTGGGCAACCTGTGCCAGGGCCTCCCCACCCTCACAGGGAAGGATTTCTTCCTAAAATCTAATCTAAACATACTCTCTTCACAGTGTGAAGCCACTTCCCCTTGTCCTGTCTCTCCAGGCCCTTGTAAACAGTCTCTCTCCATCCATGGGCTCCCTTCAGGTTCAGGAAGGTCACAATCAGGTCACCCCAAAGCTTCCCTTCTCCAGGCTGAACAATCCCAGCTCTCCCAGCCTTTCCTCCCAGCAGAGCTGCTCCAGCCCTCTGATCATCCTGGTGCCTCCTCTGGACTCTCTCCAGCAGCTCCATGTCCTCTCTGTGCTGTTCCCCAGGGCTGGAGCAGCTCTGCAGGGGGGTCTCACCTGAGGGGGCAGAGGGGTAGAATCCCCCCCTCCCCTGCTGCCCACACTATAAGTCAAGTTTCCCAAATTTGTCTTGGAAGGCCAGGAGAAAAAGACTTCCAGGGTCCTGATTTTCAATAGGTTGATGTCAATTCATTCCTATATATCAGGTATTCCTAATAAGTCAGTGTCTCCATCCCCTTCCCAAAATGCTGAAACATCCACACTGTTCAGTCACTTTGGCAAATGAGATGCTGTTAAAGAGCATCTTTGAAAAAGTTTGTCTGTGGTTATTTTAAGGGCCCCGTGCTCAGATCTGCCTCTCTCCTTATCAGCAAACCACTCACCTGTCACCCACTGCAGGGATTCTTCCTTTAAATCACTCTTACAGTAGAGGAGGGAGGACCCATTTTTCCCAGTCCCGCCAGTTTGGCTTTTCTGGGCCATGCTGGAGGTGCCTTTCCCTGAGGGATTCTCTGTTGTGGTGTGAGAAATTCAGCATTTATCTCTCTCCCTGCTGAGAAGCACCAGCTCAGCTCCCCTGGCAGCCGGCTGGGGAGCAGACTGTGAAACCCTCACTCACACTCCCACTGCTGCCTCCCTCGAGATCCTGCTTTCCACGAGCCAGGAGGCATTTTTTTTTTAGCCCTGAAAAGAGAAAAAGAAAATCCTAAATCTTGCAGAGACAGCAAATAAGGGATAACAGCAGTGACTTTGCTCCTTGGACCCTGCACTTGGCAGGTGTTGGGCAGCCCCGAGCACAGTAAGCACAGACTCGCCTTCTGCTGCAATTACCTTTTGTTTCTTCGTTAATAGCTGGAAAGGTTGTCCTTAAATATTCCTTAAATTATCCTGACATCCTTAAGCATTCGTATTTTGCAAGCAATTGGTCAAGACCAGGCAGGATTTGTCCTTGTGAAGCCAGCGGGCTCTTTGCTCTGCCAGAGCCGGTGGAAAAGCCTCTCCTTGGAAGCGCCGCGCCCCGCTCACCGTGCGGGGGATAAATCCCCTCCTCACGGCGGGAGCAGCGCAGATCGGGCAGAAAAATGCCTCTGCTGAAGGCAGAGCCAAGCAGGAGCTCTCACCCGGAGCAGCAAAGCCTTTGAGGGTCTCTGCTTTCCTCTCCCCTCAGTGCCAGGGGGAGTTCTCACAGCAGGCACTGTGCCCACGGGTTTGCCTGCTGATTCAAGTCTCTAACCCACTGCCAAGACTTGTGGGTGGCTATTAAAGCTTGGAAGACTCCGAAGAGTTTACTTTTCAATTATCTCCCCCCTCACGTGGCTGGGCTACATCCGCACCAGCTCTCCAAAAACATCACCCTCTTTTTAACCTCTGCGTGGAGCAGGAGCCTGTTGCTGTCCCCTGGTGTGAGGGTCCCTCATGGATTTCACCCACCCTCCTTCCAAAGAGGGTTGTTTTCTTTCTGACTGGGGGTTGTTGCTGCAGTTCCCCCCCTTGCACACAGCCGGGATAGTCCCTGGCAAGAAAGGAGGCAAGAGAAACAACAGGAGAGGTTCTGCTGGCAGGAAAAACCCCTCAGAGGGCTGGAAACTCACCCTTAAAGGGGACAAACCACGATAAATGTTGCACAGGAGGTGTGCAGTGTGTGTGTGCACAGGGTGGGCACAGCACCTGCTCTTCAGGTGAGGAGCAATTCCCCGAAATTCTGAGCACAGCCCTCCCACGAAGCCACGTTGTTACAGAGCACATCAACCAGCACCAAAAGGTGGATTGAGACGGTGAATTTTCTCCCTCCTTCCCCCCTTTTGCCATCAATCCTTTCAGGTTAGAATCAAACAAGAGGGGAAAACAAAAATCAAGACAGAAAAGCCCAGAGAAAACAGCAGCAAAGAGTGAAAGAACAGAGGAAACTAAAGGAAAATCTAATTAGAAACTAAAGAAAAACCTACTTAAAATCAAACAACCTGTTGCTGCTGCTGGCACAGTAAGTTAGAGGTGAATCAAGGCTCTGTGGCTTAGATGTCTTAGAGAATTTGGGGTCTCTGGAGGACAGTCCCCAGGAGGTGACAGTGAAGGTGCAGCAGGTCAGGGCAGCTCAGCCATTCCCAGCCCATCAGGGAGCTGCAGGAATAGCCTTCCCCAGCCAGGACAAGCTCCGTGCCCAAAGCAGCTTTGCTTTTGCCTCTTTGTGCAGCACAGATCTCATGTGGCTCTGCTGCCTTTTACTGCAGAACTGCCCATTTTGGAGGTGGGGCCCCCCTGTCCCCCCCAATCTTCCTCTGGTGCCTCCCGTGCCAGCTGGAGGAGCAGCCTCTCATCTCCTGCACTCCCAGGCTCTGTCTCTCAACATCTCTTCCTATTTTTTATGCAATGCCAACGTCTCTATGGTGACTTTGCCTCCTTCAGGCTGTGGACCCTCTTTTTCAGGCACCTCCAAGCCCTCACTAAACAGCAGAGAAACATTCAGCCAGTCCTGCTTCATTTCCTGAGCTGCCAGCAGAGCCTTACCTGGTCCAGCTCGCTCCTGGTCCTGGGAAGGCAGCTCAGTCCCCTCCTCCTCCTCCTGCCTGGCCTTTCTGTGCCATTGTCCCGCTCTGCACTGCCCAGGTGCCACCACCAAGCAGGAAGTCTCTGGTCCTGCAGCCCTGAGCTGTGCTGGGAAAGTTCCCTCTCCTGCCTGTGTCTCCCTGGCTCACGGACTAACCAGGCACAGCTCAGCCTGTGCCCCTGCCTCCCTCTCCTCACCCCGAGCTGCAAGCACCAACTTGCAAAATCTCCCTTGTGCATGTGACTATTCCCCTGGGCTGCTTTCAGAAATGTGGGTTTAACCCTCTGTGGTTCCTCAAAAGTGTTTCCACGCTGAAGGCACAGCCATGGGAGCAGAAACACCCTCCCCCCTCCAGGAATTGTCCTCACCTTTGGCAGGGTGGGGGGCCAGAGCTGGAGCTGGACCCTGAAGCCTGTGCAGTGTCACAGAAGACTCTCCTCCTCCTCCTCCTCCTTGATCAGCCAGGCAGAACTAACAAAGCACAAATCCCACAGTTGCATCAGATTAGCTGCTGTGGGAATATTAAAGCCAAGCACCCCTGACAGGGCTGGAGACACCACAAGAGGCAAATGAAGATCTCAAGGCTGACAACAGGTCACTCACATTTGGCAAAAGGTCACGTCAAAGCCCAGAGGAACAGGGATAACACGCAGGGCAGGAATTGTGGCCCTCCTCATACCAGGAGGCTGGGCTGATAGGGAGCAAGTTTCCTCTCCAGCAGCTCCAGGAGAAAAGCAGAAGGCTCAGGCACGTGGTCAGATGGACCCTCCAGAGCAGCTTCACGTGCGGGAGAAGTTTTTTCTTCCATGCAAAGAGACAATGCTGAGAAAAACCACGAAAAGGAGGCTCCTTGGCATGGGAATTGTGGTTTCAGAGCTCACCAAAAGCTGGAGGATCCATGGAGGGTTGGAACAGAGCGAATCCAGCGTCTTGAGGACTGTTAGTTTTAATGAATGGTTGAAAAAATAAAAAAGCTTATTGCAGTGCCTGTGGACACTTCCTGGAGCAAAGGCCACCCTTCTCTTGGAGGGATGGGTTTCTGCAGCCCTGCCTGCCCCAGGCATTGCTGAGTGATGTGTTCATCTCACCACGTGGCTGCACAGGCCACAGGAGTGACTCCAAAGCTGCTTACATGGGATCTTGGGACACTGGGAACTGGGAACTGGCACAGCAACACCATCCAGGTATTGAGAAAAATCAGATAAACCCTGCTGCTGGCACCAGCTCCAATCCCCACCCACGAAAAGCTCTGGGCTCTTTTGCAAACGCTCCTCATCAAAAGCTTTGGCTTTGTTTCCTCCTCTCCTCACCCACAGGAAGATTCCAGCAGGGAATGATCACCCAAGTGCTTCCAAAGAGCACCGTCAGCTCTCCACGGGAAAATGCCCCAGGGCAAACCCTGTGGGGGCAATAAAGTTGAAAGCAACATCAATAATTACCTGCGAGGTGCCCACAAACCCTGTGGGGTCTTGGCACGTCAGCACAAGCAGAAAAGTCCTGCTCCTCTGGAAGTCTGGGATCACCAGACTCGCTGAGGCTCCAATCCCACACTGCTTTGGGGGGGAAGGGACCTGAAAGCCCATCTTATTCCAACCCCCAGCCACGGGCAGGGACACCTTCCACTAGCCCAGGTTGCTCCAACCTGACTTTACCAAGTTATTTGCTGGCTCTGGGGGAGTTTCCCCCCATTTTCCCAATTCCTGCAGTGCTGTAGCAGGTTATGGATTGCTTGGGGCTGGTGTATTTGATTTCCCCCTCCCCAGGTTGGTGTTACACTCCTCTGCAGGGAGCCTCATGCTGTTGGTCTCAGATCATTTCTCCCACTTCTCAAGATCATTTGGAATTGGGATTCAGTTCCTCTGTACTGTTTGTATCTCTTCCCAGCTTGGTGCCTGGGACATACCTTGTACTCCCTGTTCCACATGCTGCATTAATGAATATATTACAGGGAACCTGATTCCAGGAAAAAAAACACCAAACCTGCTGTTTGAAGTGCTTTTCCAGACTTTTCTGACCCCTCCTGCCCTCAGGGATAAACTCCCCCCCCATCATGTCCTTAACATCATTTCTGAGGTTGCTCTTTGCTACCTACTGCAAGTCCTACTGCTTCAAATACAAGACATACACACTTTAGTCTGGTTTTCCCTGCCCTAAGACCATATCTCCTCCATATTTGCTAGACGTTTTGATAAAGTGAACTCTTTTTGCAGTGTTTGGAAGGCTGATAACACAGCCCTGACTGGGATTCCTGCTTTATTGGCCACGCTCTGCACACAGTCACAGTTTCTCTCTCCCTCAGCCTCATTTGGACTGTGCTCACTGCAGCCAGCACTGGCACATCTCATTTTCTTTTGATGAAACCGCATTTTCAGTGGAGAACTGTGCCATCTTTTCCCTATTTATTTTTTCCTAGTGAGCCCTAATTAGGAAAACAAAGTTATTGAAAGCCTTGTCTCGCCCTTCCTGCACACAAAGTCCTTTCCCAGGCTCTAAGTTGCTGGTTGTGTTGTTTTTTTTTTTTTCTCAAACAGCTCAGCAAAGCTGACAGATTGACAGTCATTAAATGTAAAAATTTATTGCACAATATCCCTAAATTACAAGTTTCAAATGAGAAATGACACTTGCTTAAGGCACAAAGTGTGGTTCTCATCTTTTTTTCCCCTATTTCTGCCTCTTTCCTATGAAGACTTAAAGTATTCTTCTTTTTAGTATGGTAATGCAAAAACCTCTTTCTTGCATCTCAAATTAGAAGAGGGAAAGCTCACTGTGTGCCTTGGATAATGATTCAGCTATTGATCCAGAAGATGCTTTATTAGATTATTTTGAGGCAGACGAATGTAATTTAATACCAATTTATTTTCTATTCCTATGCCAGTCCCAGATACAATCTTTTCTGCATGAAATTAGCGCTTTCTCCTTTCAACCTCAAAGAAAGATTACACTCTGCCCCTTGCTTGGATTAGCTGGGGGAACTTTTTCACCAAAACGTTGATTTTGAGGGTTCTTGACAGTGCTTTCAATACCTTGAAGTCAAAACCTCAGCTGGGATTAGCGGGTTCTAAGCTTGCCTCTCTCGTTATTAATGCAAGAACTAGTGATGTCTGATAAATGGGAGATTCCAGAGGAGGAAAATAGAGGGAAAGAGGAAAATTGAGCAAGTTTAATGCAGGCAGAGAGAAGGAAATGACCTACAGAGGACACCAAAAACTGCCTCCAGGAGTTTTGGATGCAGGACTCGAAGTGGGGCCGCACCCCTGGGAAGGGAGGAAGGGAAAAGATCAGGGAAGATCTCTAGAGGTGAAAACTTCTCTAAAACTAACCAAAAATTAAAAAAAAAAAAAAAAAAAAGGTAAATAGCACACAAAATGCTCCTCTAAACATTATAAAATGATGATTTTTACGCCCCAGGAAGCCCCATGACCCAAAGGCAGGCAGAGCCAGCTCCCCTGCCATGTCACACGGGCTGAATGACTGTCCCAGCAGGGCACTGCCTGGCCCTGTGCCCACAGCCCCCAGAGGGATCAGCCAGGGCCCCCCCTGCCCTCACTGCCCACCCCTCCCCTCATCCCTCCTGTTCATTACGAGCCCTTTCTCTCACGGTTTTGGATTGAACTGCAACAAAGGCACAGGGGATCAACCCCACCCTGGCTCTGAACTGACCAAATATCCAGCACCATTACACAGGGCAGAGGGGCTCAACCTGCCTGGGGGGATTTCCCCTCTGTCCCCCTCCCAGAGGGGTGCTGAGCTCTTCAACTCCTTGCTTGACCGGGCACAGTGAGGAGGAGACAGTGACCTTCACTGGGCAGTGGGAGCCGAGTGGGGAGCGAGCTCTGTCAAAACAGTCTTGCCTTCAAAATTGAACTCTGGCTTCAAGCAGCACAAATACGTGTCCTAATTGTACCTCAGACTGCATGTTAAGCCATCCAGATGACACTCATGTCCTGGTGTTCGTGTCATGTGTCCATCTGGAGCTTGTACAGGTGACACACCTTCTCAATGGCACAGTACAGATAATGCCTGAAAAGAATCTCTGCAAAAATCAACTCCAACCCGTTGTTGATGAGCAGGGATGTGACCAGAGGCAAACTGAACTGTGTGACTCCTGGTCTGATCCCAGGAAGGTGTTTATTTGTGAGCAGTTCTAACTGGGAGGAATCGAGAGCAGCAGCCCCTCACTGACACTGCAGCAACAAGACACGAGGGCTGATCGTTCCTTACCTCCCTCCAGCACCAGGACTCTGATATTCCTGGCACACAGGTGGTATTTCCAGAGATGGGACCTCAAATCAAAGGTATCAGGCAGTGCTGGGTGTGCCCAAAGCAGCTTCTGGCTCTTTCTGTGGTACAGGAGATGCTTGTGGTACAAAGAGACATCAGGGATTATCACAGAACCACAGACTGGTTTGGGCTGGGAGGGACCTCAAATCTCATCTCATTCCACCCCTGCTACAGGCAGGGACACCTTCCACTAGCCCAGGATGCTCCAAGCTCTATCCATCCCTTGAACACCTCCAGGGATGGGGCAGCCACAGCTTCTCTGTGCAGAGGAGCAGCAGGGGAAATTTGGTGACAGATTTGTACCGGCAGCTGGGTTTGGGCCTCACTCCTACTCATCAGACTCACAGCAGAACATCTAGAAAATCAGATTTCAGAGGCAAGAAGCCACATTTCCCACTCCATATCTCTGTCAGAAGAATGTTCCCTGCAGAGTATTTTCCTGGCACAGCCTGGCTTAGGCACTCAGACACCTTTCCCAGAGCAAGATAAAAGAATGTCAACTTGAAATAAAATCTCTATGCTGCAAACAAAGCCAGCCTTCCTGGAGAGCAGTAATTGGAAACCCTTCCTTCAGTACAAAGTTATTCTCAACAGTTAAGTTTCAGGGAAATATTACAGAAAATTGTTATTCTTGCAGCACTTCTGCATGTTCTGAAGGGAGTGACTTCACAGCACATTTGCCAAGAAGAAACGATCAGGGAGGGTTATTTTCCCCTTTTTCTCCTGCCTCTCACTGCTCTAGAGAGGAAGGATAAAGTCCTCATTAACAAAGGGAAACTTAAGAACCAAAAGGAAAAGTGGGGCACACACTGCAGCCTTCCTGGCCAGAGCAGGAGTCTGTCACTGGTAACAAAGGGGATGAAATCACTAATTACAGCCCCAGGCCAGGAGGGCTTTCATGAGCAGTGTCCTGCTGCAGCCTGAGCACCTGCTCTCCACAGGCAGAAAGGCAGAAATGTTTCATCTCCAAAGGACACACCAGAATTAACATGGTTGTAACCTTTTATGAGGCCATAGCACCTCTCCAGTCATCCCACCACACTGATTCAAACTGCTTTGATCCCATTCTCCTCGTACCCACCTGTTTGGTTTTTTTTTTCCCCAGCCTGGCACGTTTGACTTTGCAGGAAGCTTTTGTTTCAGTTTTACAACTTGTTTAATGGCTTGAATTCCTGAAGAGAACCTTTCAGGAGTACAGTGCAGCACTATAAAATATTCCAGGAGACACTACAGCACTCTGCTCCTTCAGTGTGACTGCAGAATTCACATCCATCCTGCTTTTTTTCCCCCTCCCAGTCACAACCCAACTCCAGAGGTCCAAGAGGCTTTGCAGTGCTGAGGGGCTGTGGAAATACAGGATGTGGAAATACAGGCTGTGGAAATACAGGATGTCCTGTCTGAGGAACAGAACACCATCAATGAGGTTCCTTGTGTAAATCCTGACTGCACAAATTGTGCATCTGATCAGGGACACACTGACTGAGGGCCCTTTTCTGCAAAAAGCCTGAAATCAAACTCAACAGAAAAAGCAAAGCTGCAGTTAACATTCTGCTGGTGGGACAGGGAGAGGAAGAAACCAATAAAACATGAAACCCCTTGATATATTTGTGTGTATTTTTGATTAAAGAGCTAGAAAGTGATGCAGGACAACCCCAAAACACTTCTTTCCCACTGCTCCCAGGTACAGGATGCTGCAGGATTCAGGATGACCTTGGTACAAACACTCAGTGACCAGTACTGGACCAAAGGAAGGATAATTACTGCTCAGCACCTGGCTATCAAACTATTCCAGTCAACTGGCAACACTTTATTTCCCCCTAATGCTCACAAGAACATTTGTTCCTGAAGGTTTTCAGAATGATCTGGCAGGTAAAGCATCAGACTGGAGCCAAGAGGAGGAGCTCTGTAATGGGTTTGAACTTACCTGCTGTGACCTTCAGAGAGTTGCTGCCTCTCTTACTCTTTATTCAGCAATACTTGATGGCCACTCTGAGGAGTCCAGACTCCCATGGTGCTCACTGAGACCTGCCAGCATTCCCAGGACAAGTCAGCATTCCCAGGACACGTTAGCAGGAACGACCAGACTGACAGGAGGCTTTGGAGTGAAGTGTTTTTACTTGCAGGTGTCACAGTGCCAGACTTGTACCTCAAGCAACAGCAGAATATACAGAGGATATTCAACACAAGCACCTCAAAATGATCAGCCAGCACTGTACAGCCAGAGAGCTCTTTCCCCAGGGTTTCAACCCTGTGCAAAGGTTTAACAACACGCTGAAAAATGCAGTTTGGTCAATGAAAATACAGTTACACACGTTTAACAATTACTGACACGGGCTCCCCATTTCAATCTGGCCAGAATCTCCCTCTCCTTTCTCCTTCAGGCAGCACTGATGTGCCAACTGGATTATATTTGTTCAATAACTTAGCCCAGATGTGAGATGTGGCCATTTCATGTTTGAATAAGCTCTGAACCCGGGTCAAAACAGAAACTAAGAGAACTCCAACAGCTCACTGCAATAATTTAACACATGGATAAGGACAGGTAAGGGATGGCCAAGGGCTGTACATTCCACCTGAAGCTCAGACACGACTCCCAGCACAGTTTTCCTTCTTCCCCCACTACCCATTGATGCGATAGTTCACGTGGATCTCGGGTTTGATGTCACACACCAGGGACAGCAGCTGGGACAGAACCACCTCACGGTTCTTCTGGAAGTTCTGCTGGATCACACTCATCTTCTCCTGGGTCTCCTTCTCAACTTCAGTGGTGCAGCTGCCATGAGATCCAAGTGCCTGCAGGCAGCAAAGGAAAGAGGAAGCTCCTGTGTGAGCAGTGTGACCGAGAAATCACCACACCAAACTCTGTATTTGGTTTTTCTGGACTGTCTCAGAGCATCTCAGCCATTAATCTTTGGTGAGGGAAAATTAATGTGCATGTTTATGTTAAAACACCAAAAGAACTGTTGCATTTTTTGCTCAGATTTCGCCCTAAACTTGTCCAAGTTTGTATTTCAGCCTCAGCCCCTGCCTTTTATTCTCTTTTATAGAATCACTGAATGGTTTGGGTTGGAAGAGACCCTAAAGATCATCTTGTTGCAACTCAGGGGAGCATTTATTCACTAGCAGTTAAGAGCATGAGCATTTAAAGAGTGCCCAAAATAAAGGCCCTGCTGGACAGATAATTGGAACCTGGAACTCCTGGGCACTAGAGAGGGCAAGAAAAGTAACACCATTAAGTTACTTTAAGCACAATTCACATCATCCCATTCCTTCTACCCTTGGAAAATCTTTATAAAAATGTGTGAGCAGTGACAGCACCCAGGGAATGGCTGGAGCTGTGCCAGGGCAGGCTCAGGTTGGATCTCAGGCAAAGGTTCTTCCCCCAGAGGGTGGTTGGCACTGACCAGGCTCCCCAGGGCAGTGGGCACAGCACCAAGGCTGCCAGAGCTCCAGGAGGGTCTGGACAATGCTCTGAGGGACAGGGTAGGATCGTTGGGGTGTCTGTGCAGGGTCAGGAGTTGATAATCCCTGTGGCTCCAAATCAGGATATTCTGTGGTCCTAACAGGAGTTGGGCCACATGATATACACAGCAGGGAGTCTCTCCCAGCTTACAGTGTCCTTCTCGCCCCATCAGCAAGGACAGAGAGAGAAAATTCCCATTAAGAAAGGAGAAAATGGCCCAGAAGAAGAGACTGACACCCTGGGACTCAAATTCTTCCCTGTGGAAAAGGATGAGTAAAACCAAACCAGCTGAGAGGCAGTGAAGTCTGTGGGAATTGCCCGGGATCACATGCCCAGTGAGCCAAGCTAACAAGCAATGGTTTAAATTATTCCTGACCCACTGAGGTGATTATGCAGCAGCAGAGGAGGTGGAAATGTGCTATCCAGAGGATGGACAGAGGGGAGGATGCCAGGGCATTTTTCTGAAGATTCTGGAACTGTCAGGGGCACCCAGGCACTGCAGCCTCAGCTGGTGGAGGGCCTCAGTTCTGTGCCTTTTGGGAATATTTCTTGCTCAGAAGGGAAGGATAGAGCCATGGGATACAGAAGGAAACACTGCTAAGCAGAACACAAGCCTTACAGCTGCTTCAGCAAGAGCAGCAGCTATGAGGCAAGTGGCTCCTACCACACCAGCACCATAAAAACCAGCCTGTCACGGGAGGAATGGGCCACTGCTACACACAGGAGGTTTGGGGGGCTGCCACCCATCAGGGCACCAGCCAATCCATGAGTGCATTAATTTAATTCCCTGCCTGTCAATAGTTCTGCTGCTGAGATGCAGAACACCCTGTTCTGAGTCACTCCCCCTGTTCTTTCCGTGCCACGTGGCCATGCATCACAGGAAAGCACTCAGGGAAGTGCTGCTCCTGCACCACACTCCACCCCCAGGGCTGTTTCAGGGCAGGGAACCCCAAAGACGAGGCTGAGGGGCTGCAGGGAAGTGAATGAGGTAGAAAACCAACCGCTGCCTCCTTGGCCTTGAACTCCTTCTCCCGCTGCAGGCGGTACTGCTCGATCTCTGCCTGGGCCTCCTCCTTGGCCTGCTTCAGCCTCCGGTTCTTCCCTGCTCCCAGAGAATAAAACAAGGGAAAGACAGAAGAGAAAGCACTCAGAGCTTGTTGCCCACGGCTCTGCAGCTCCCCAGTGCACAACTATCACCACAGAGTTTGCTACTGCAGCAGCCCCCTGTGTAGGAGGCACCAGCCAAGCCCCCCTCAGTGATCTCGGGGGTACAAGGGTCACCCCACCAAACCACGGCCAGGAGCTTCCCCCTCTGAGCAATGGAGACCTTCTCTGGGGCACTGGATGCACTGGGCAATGTTCAGCTCTGCCCTTGCTCATACAATGAATCCCAGAATGGTTTGGGTTGGAAGGGACCTTAAAGCTCATCTCATTCTACCCCCTGCCATGGGCAGGGACACCTTCCACCAGAACAGGTTGATCCAAGCCCCGTCCAACCTGGCCTGGGACACTTCCAGGGATCCAGGGGCAGCCACAGCTTCTCTGGGCAACCTGTGCCAGGGCCTCACCACCCCCACAGGGAAGAATTCCTTCCCAGTATCCCATCTAACCCTGCCCTCTGGCAGTTTAGAACCAGTGCCCCTTGCCCTGTCACTCTCTGCCCATATAAAAAAGCCTCTCTCCCTCCTTTGTACCAGCCCCCTCTAGGCACTGGAAGGGGCTCTAAAGTCACACCAGAGCCTTCTTTTCTCCAGCTGAACACCCCCAGCTCTCCCAGCCTATCTTCAGAGCAGAGCTGCTCCATCCCTCTGATCATCCTGGTGCCTCCTCTGGACTCTCTCCAGCAGCTCCATGTCCTTGCTGGGCTGTTCCCCAGGGCTGGAGCAGCTCTGCAGGGGGGTCTCACCCGAGGGGGCAGAGGGGCAGAATCCCCCCTGCCCTGCTGCCCACACTGGGGGATCAGCCCTGGACAGAGTTGGTTTCTGGCTGCCAGTGCATATCCAGCTTTTCATCCATGAGAACCCCCCAATCCTCCTCCACAGGGACACTCCCAACGAGTTCTTCTCCCAGTCTGTACCCATGCCTGGCACTGCCCCAACCCACCTGAGCCTGCAGCCTCTCTGGGAGACCCCGAAAGATCCCAGCAGAAAGAACATTTAGTCTTAGCTTTGCCCCAGACCAACTGTGAAACCCAGAGCAAAACTGGGCAGTGCCTCAACTTCCCCTCTTGGACTTCCCAGCTCGTTTTCCCCTCCAAGATTTATCATCACTGGAGTGAACTACACAAGTCTGCTTCTTGCAACACTGTCAGGGGGTTGAACAAGAAGTAAGATAGATGAATATAGATATAGACAGATATAGATAAATATGGATATAGACAGATACAGATAGACAGCTGTAGATAGATATATAGACATAGATATAGATAGATATAGACATATAGATATAGCTATAGACGGATATAGATAGATACAGGTATGTTTGAAGCCGGAAATATTTGCAAAGCTGGGGCTCTTTGTAACCAGAATTTATCTTATTTAACAATAAAATCTAACTTGGATCGCCAAGGAATACCTCTCAGCTCTCTGAGACGCCTAACCACGGATGGGAAACACGGTTTCCACCAAGAAAACAGAAGTTAAAGGTGGGAAGGACAGAGATAAGCGCAGGCACCCCCGAGTGACGCCGCCGCCGTGCCCAGGCCGGGGCCTGACGGTGACGGGGCCAGGAGTCACAGGGCTGCTCCGAGACCTGGCACGGGGGTCCCACAGCGGTCACCGAGCCCACACCGAGCCGACACCGCGCACCCGCGGCCGGGCCGCGAGGCCTGAGGCGGCCGCGCCGGCACAGGCCTGGCCTGGCTACCCCGGGTTCCCCCGCCGCCTCAGCGCCCGCGGCGAGGCCTGGAGGAGCCGCGCCGTGCCGTACTCACGTTTGCGGGCCTCGGCCACCTTCTCGGCGGCGCGTTTCTCGGCCTGCAGCAGCTGCTGGATGCCCTGCGACTGGCTCGCCATGGCGGCTCCCGCACCCACCGAGCGCCGGGGCCGCGGGCGGTGCCACGGGGACACGCCCACACGGGCCCGGGCACGCCCACACCGGCAGGGACACGCCCACGGACGCACCATGTTAGATAAGGACACGTCCTGACCACGCCCCCATCGCGTGGGACACGCCCCCTCTGTAACGTTTCCACTGCGGAGGCCACGCCCCCATCAGGCCACGCCCCCCGCCCCAAGCTCCGCCTCCAGAAAGATTTTTAATTTAATTGTATGACAGAATCACGGAATCAAACGTGTTGGAAAAGACCTCTGAGATCATCGAGTCCAACCTGTGACCCAACCCCACCTTGTCACCCAGACCATGGCACTGATGCCACATCCAGGCTCTGCTCAAACCCCTCCAGGGACGGGGACTCCACCCCCTCCCTGGGCAGCCCATTCCAAGGGCTGATCCCTCTCTCTGCAAACAACTTCTGCCCAATGGCCAACCTAAACCTGCCCTGGGGCAGCTCAAGGCTCTGCCCTCTTGTCCTGCTGCTGGTTCCTGGCAGCAGAGCCCGACCCCCCCCCGGCTCCCCCCTCCTGGCAGGGAGTTGCAGAGAGTGAGAAGGTCTCCCCTGAGCCTCCTCCTGTCCAGGCTGAGCCCCCCCAGCTCCCTCAGCCTCTCCTCACAGCACTTGTGCTCCACACCCTTCCCCAGCCTCGTTGCCCTTCTCTGGACCTGCTCCAGCCCCTCCATGTCCTTCCTGAGCTGAGGGGCCAGAGCTGGGCACAGCACTCCAGGGCGTTGCCCCAGGGTGTGGTCTAACAGACTTGTTCCTAAGAAGCTCTTTACCATCGGAGTTGTTGAATCTAAGTCAACTGTTTTCTGCTTTTGGGAACGTGATGTAGGACTTTGGTTCATTTAATCTACTACCTGATCAATGAGGTCCCACTGCCCTTTATCGACAGTCCCGAGGTGTTTCTTTGCCCCCCCACCACAAAACCTGCAGGCAGCCCATCTTAAACCCCTTCAGGAAGGCGGTGTTGGGGGTTTATTTTTATTTATTTCATGAGTTTTAATTTTAAAATTATTTATTTTCATGGTTGGAAGTGCGGCAGTCCCAGCATGTGCATCATGCTCCCCACGGGATGCCTTGGCCCCCTCTGGGCTGTGCCATCCCCTCCTGTGTTTGTGCCACCCCAAGCACAGACCCACTGACACACAGGAGGGTTTATAACCACCAAGAACCCCCTTCTTCAGGGGCTCCCACTGCCCCCAAACATCCCCTCACCTCACCCTGTGCCGCCCAACCCTCACCCATCACACCCTGGGGACAATTTTAAAGCCCTGAGCGCAGCTTCCCCAGCATCTTTCAAGGCATAAATTACAAGTATTGTTGAATAATAGTGCTCTGATGAAGCAGGAGAGCCAGGACAGTGACTCATCGCTGCCGAGGGGCTGCCGGGCCACCTCCTCCATCCCCCGTGATGGAAGGGACGGGAGAAGATGAATCAAAAGCATATTTATAGTGCTCAGTAGGAATTCTGAGTGTTTTCAAGGTGACCTTCAGCTGGGCCCAGCGATGAACTAAATGGGTTTAGCAGGCCTGTCCATCCAGGGGTGTATTTGCTTCAGGAAAAGAAAGAGAAAAGGAAGTATCAGGAGAGGAGCTGCAAGTTTGGGGGTTGAAGCAAGCCTGGGATACTGGGATGGGGCAAAAGGATCAAGAAGAGCTGCTGGGAGCAAAGGACTGGTCTGTGCTGGCAGAAGGGAAATCCAGCAAATCTGGTGCCACATCATCTGTCACAGACAGGGCAGGTTTGGCCAAGAGGACACAGCTCAGTTGTGCTGGTTATCAGCGAGCACAGAAGGGATGGGAAATCAGAGAAACACCAGAGAAGGGCTTAGGCTGGAAGGGACTTTCTCTAGTTCCAACCCTCCCTGACATTCTGTCTCTCTTCCAAAATACACCACAGCCAAAAAACCTGCTGGGGCTCAACTGGGACAGACCCAGGCTGCTTTTAAACATTAACAGCCCAGAGATGAGATCCTTCTTATCTGACCCAAACCTGAGCAGCCCCTGCCCCCCTCTCACCTCAGACCTTTGCCAAAGGCCACAAAATCATTAAAATCATTAAAGTCTCCCCCTGACTCCCCCAGCCCTCAATCCCAGTCCCATCCAGAAACCCCCCATCCTCATTAGCTGCTGCAATTTTTGTTTCAGGGATGTCCCCTGCTGCTAATTAAAGCACTTGAGCTGAACCCAGAGATGATCCCAGAGCTGGAGGCTCTGAAGGGATACCAGGGATCAAACAGGCTTTGCACAAAGGGGTCCAGCCCTGCCCTGAAGTCACAGCCAGCACTGGGGGGGTTATTTTTCTCCTGGGTGATGGTGATTTTTAGCCTCACAGCTTCTCTCTGCAAGGTGATGATGATGATAACAGTGCCCTTTTCTACCCTAGAACCACCCTGGCTACGATCACACCGAGTTTTCAGATAAAAATCCCTCCAAATTTCAGCTTTGCATTGCTTTAAGAAGCACGTGATGAGTTTCCCACCATTTCATTTTGAGAGTTAACAAATGAGGCAATAACAGTTTCTGTTTAAAAAACAATCCTTTGCTTGGTTGTGCTGCTTTCTAGTTTATTATTGCCAAAAAAACTACTTGAAACCTCATGGTGTGTGTCACGTGAAACACGTGTGAATCCCAAAGCTGTTTGATTAACTTCTCCAGTCCCTTAAAACTTTTAAAAATTGCTTTTCCCTTCTGGCATTAAAAAGAAAAAAATCCAATCCTCAAACCTGCCCAGGTGTGGATAAGAGCTGCTGGTACAGCTTTAATTCTGCCAGCAATGGATTTATAATTAATTAGCCTCACAAATACTTCTGAACTTGGTTTTTATTCCCTCAGATTCATTGGACAGGAGCTTGTAATTTGCTATTAAAGAAAGCAGCAATTACTGACACTGATAATGGCATCCCCTTATTTGTCCAGCACTGATTTCTTAATATGATAAACTTTACTAATCCTAAATTTCACGTACCTCACATTCAGCAGAGACTGGAGGAAGAATATCTTTAGAAGATTAAGGCTAGTCCTGCTCTCTAACAGGGGGAAATAAATTGTTAAAATAAAGAAATAAAAGCATTTTCTTTGCCTTCTTCCACAGGTCAGAGTAATGAAAATTAAATTAAACGCATTTCTTAATTTTCTTTCTTTTTCCAAAAGCTTTTTCTTATTATTTTCTTGCAAGTGTTGAGGACTTATTTTTCATTTTGGAGCTGCATCTTTCCGCCTTCTCCTTTTTTTCCTGCACTGGGTCATAACTCCAAGTGTGGGTCACACAGGTTCCTGAAATAGCAGAAGATGTTTCTAGAAGCAGGAAAAAATACAGCTTGTCTTTATTATTTATTTTATTTTTTTTTTTTTAGTTTGCAAGCCCAGCAAACATGTGCCATGTCTTATGATCCCTCAGTCATTAAGGATTCCCAGACACATTTCAGAAGACTGAGATTTTTAAACACCGGCTCTGGCTGCTTTCCAGATCAGGTAATTACATTTTCCCTCTCTAAATTCCCTCACACTTTCAACTGGATATGTTATTATTCTCCATTCCCCAAGTTAAACTGTTATTCTGTTCAATTGTTACTCTTTTGAGGAGGTTTTGTGTCAATGCCTGGGAACCAAAGTGGTCTCTATTTTGTGAGGTTTAATTCATTAACACAAATCACTTCAAGGCATTGAGATGATGCAGCTGCCAGATGTTGATAAACAATCACTAATTGATCACTAAAAGACAACCAGTGAATAATTACCAATTAGCAATAGTTCAAAGGGATATTTTAAATTTATAAGCAGAGTATTAGAAATCCAAGTACAGCATAGCAGTAGATTTACATAGAAATCAATTAAACCCTGAAGTGAACAAGCCTGTGGAACTTGTCTGTACCTGACCTACACCAAGAACTTGGCTCAAATACCCCAAAATAACAAAGAACGTTTCATTTATCATTTGGAGTTCCTTTGTGATCAAGGACAATTTAAAGCCTGGAGTAACCCGATTGCAGTGATGGAATTACACCCCAATGGACTTACATTTATATGGTAAGAATTGATTTTTTTTTAAAAGCAGTTCAAGAAGCCATATTTCTGTGTCAGCTCTCGTTACACCTTCCTTTGGGATAAGCAAACTGCTCTGGGGAGCTGGTGCCAGCGTTCACCAGGGAGCCTGGAGACTCCCTTCTGGGGCATCACCCACTGTTGGGACCCAAATAGTGAGAGATGCCCCTGTGGCAGGATAATTTACCCTGGCAAGGCCTAAAATCCAGTCAGAGAAACGCAAACAGTGCAAGTTATTTGGGGTGAGTTACAGCTGACACTGGTTGGGTGGTGAATTATCCTGAAATCAGCCTGGCTCACCCAGCTCCACACACACATCCTGCTTTTTGAAGCAGGATTTGACAGATAAGCTGCTGGCTGGCCTGGAAATCTGTGACAGGCAGTCAAACACTTTATAAAAGCCCAGTCCAACTTTCATATGGCAGATTCTTCCACAGACTCTCTTGGAGTGTGTGTGGAGCTGGGAAACCTCTTCCTGGTCACTCCCAGGGGTCAAGAGAAAGAGAGAAACCTGCTGTGGTCGTGTGGTGAGTTACCTCAAACTCTGCCTAGTGGTTGTTTCTCTTTGCTACCTTTGATACAATTGCTTTAATAAAATTGCTTTGATATAGTGCCCTACACTATTTGATGCTGTATCATACCCTACTAGCAGCTTTTTAGCTTTTACACTCTGTAATAAATAATTCTGATCAAGACCTTTCATCTGCTCGCTTGCCCGCTCATTTATCATAATAAATAATTAATTTTATATAAATACATCTGATTTGCCATCATTAAAACCTGTGGGACAAAGGGATTTGTTCACCCTGGGCTGAGATAACCCCCCAGACAAACTGTACCACCTTTTTCCTATCTCAAGGTCTTGTTGTGGTGGTTTAACTCACAGTCCAAGTTCCAGGGATCCACAGAGGATTTTTCAGGGGGGCTTTGGTGGGTGTTGGTGGTCACAGATGCCACGTGTCCCACAA